TTTTTTAAAAAATATTTATTGTTTAGTTTTCAGCAGACACAACATCTTTGTATGTGGTGCTGAGGATGGAACCCGGGCTGCACGCTTGCCAGGCGAGCGCGCTACCACTTGAGCCACATCCCAGCCCCTATTTGTATTCTTAAGAGCTACAAAAAGCAGCAATATAGAAGACATGACTTTCTTATCTATCTTCAAGACATGATTTTCCTGAGTCCTAAGGTGATCCCTATCGACTTCATACTCTCTAAATACCTCAATTTACAAATGAGAAAAACAGGGAAGATGGACACCACCCAGACCCAGGAAAGCAGCTTGAATATACTGTGCAGCATATTGATATATTTTTGGACCAGAAAACAGGTGTAGAAGCAGCACACGTGTTGTAGATTGATCGGCCTTTGAGGGATATGTATTTAGGTCTTTATGTACTCGGAGCAGAGCTTCATAGAAACGCTGAGGACAGCATTTGGCTTGTCCTACTGGAGTTTATAAGCTCAGAGACAATTGTGACACACACAATGAAACTGAGCAGACTGTTGCTGCCCACCCCATGGCCCTTGGTCTGCCTCCCTCCTGTAGAATAGGGATCAGTTGATGCAGGCTGGTCTGATGAGGTCAGATACCAAAGAAACCAAGTCCTTTCACCTGGCCCTCCACTGCCGTCTACTGCGGGGCAGGATTGATGGCTCACGTTCTCACTGGTACTCTGTAACTGCTGGAACTGACCGGGAGGCTTCTTCCTTTTCAAAGTGCTCACACTATGCCTGGAGAAAACATCTTGGTTTTTCAACAGGAGCTGGAATTCTGTGCTGTGTAGAGCTCTGTCAGTGACCCTGCATATGTGCTATACCCAGTAGGTTTCTGCTCTGAGAGCTGCAGTTTCTACAGGGGTGAGGAACAAGAATGACCCCATGCATAGTTTTTCTGAGCATGAACAATTGGTTTTACTGAACATAAAGCCAGTTGGCCATTCCTAAGAGAAGTGCTCAGAAATGTGACTCCTTGGAACATTCTGGAGACAACAGGAGCCAGCCAGGCTCCAGGGTCAGAGGTGACCCTGTGGTGTAGGCATCAATATGCCACTAAAGTTAGTGAGTTTAGCCTCTAAGACTCATGTACAAATGTCAGAGAAGATGCAGGGGCATGGAGGAGTGTCTTGCTGATGAAGAAAAACTTCTGTTTTATTCTATTTGATCTCGATGGGAGTGGAACAGGGAGATTCAGGATGGAGGAGCAGAGGAAGGCTGCATTCCTAGTGGCTGCGTGGCTCGGGATTCCAGCAGCAGGAGCACTGCTTCTCAGTGAGGTGGGTGAAAAAGGGATTTCACTAAAATCCAATGTGGCGCTGTCTTAGAGCCTCAGACGTTGAAGTGCATTGAACAAAGAAGAAGGGGGACACTGGAGCCAAGCTGGTTATGATAGCAGTGGTGGCAGCGGCACCGGTCACCACACAGGGAGAGAGAACACAGAGAGAAACAGGCAGATTTGGTACAGAAAAACCTGAGCTTGGAAAAGCTGCCCAGACTTAGCTGATCCAGGGGCTGCACCATGAACTGGTGCTTGCTCTGTGTTCTTAACTGGCTGAGGAGAGGTGAGACACAGCCGTCTTGAGGCAACCACACAGAAGCTGCTGTGGATGCCAGGAGATCACAGCCAACATTGCTGCATTGCCCCAGAAAGTCCCCACCATGTGGGGTGTACCTAGGAGGACATGAGTGAAACAGGCACAGCCAAGATTGTACCCAGGCCGGGGCACAGGGGAACCCAGCCCACTTTTCCTTTGAGTCTGGCAGCTCATGTGACCAGCTGAAGAGGATCAGGAATCTGAGCAGGTGGGTGTGAACACATGCAGGGACTGAGCCCCAGAAGACGGTGTTCATGGGCAACATAGTGTGTGGAGAGTTGGCTTCCCTGCCCCATGAGTAGAATTCTTGGGAGAAGCTTGAGAAACAGACTCCCAGCAGAGCTTGGCATCTGCCAGGCTGTAGGGGTGTGTGGATCTAAAATCCTCAGGGCAGATGCCACCAACAGAGTACCTAAGGCATAACTAGACCAAAGCTCCGTCTCCAGAGCTCCCCTCCTAAAATCCCGCAGCAGCCCCCCTAAGGACTTCCTTGATCTCGTCTGTGCAGACAAGATTCCAGCTGACAGTTCTTCCCACTCCACCCTACCTTGTACTGGGGAGAAGGGAAGCCCAGAGCTTTTCCAACCAGTTTCATTCTTAGGCCACTCCAACGGGCAGCTCTGTGAGCAACACCAACACCAAGGGAGGGGTTAACAGCCTCCAAGCCTCTGCTCTCCCTCGGTACATAACATAAGAAGGAACAGAAAAAGGGACATTTGGGCATGGGCAATGACCATTCACTCTCATTGGCTATTTTGACCACCCCAGTGGAAAGAAGGCTTTTATTTTTCATTAAGAATCTTTTTTCCACTTTTATAATATTCTTGCTGTGCTGATTGGTTTGCAGACATATGCACATATGTGTTTGTTTATTTTTTTCTCATTTTACAAATGTAGTCATTTTTCCTTGCCTTGTCATTTAAGGGGTAGGATTTTTAAATTTATTTATTTTAATTTACTTTTTTGATTGTTTGTTTCTCTTGATTGTCTTTCTCTTCTTGTTTCTCTAGTAGCCAAATTCTCTTGTTCTCTCGTTCCTTCTCCCTTTACTGTGTTTTTCCTACATTTTCTGCTCCTTCCTTTTAATCATTGCCTGCCACATCTCTTCTGCCTTCTTTCTGTTCACATTTTGAAAATTGTGAACTCTCTACTACCTCTTATCATGCTTTCTTTTCTCTTAAATAACTTTATTTTTTATAATCTTTTAGAACTAATTGGTTTATATGACCCCTGCACTCACCATTCATGTTGCTGCAATTATTACTGCCATGGAAAACATAGTTAACACCTGCTGTTTGCTTTAATGTCAGATATAGTTTATGGTTATTTATTGGTTTTGCTATAGGCAATTGCTGACTTCATTATTTTCTGTTTATGTAGAAAAATTAGTGTTGTGCATGCCATAGTAGGAACCAGGTATTTGTTTTCATGCTGTAGATTATTTACATTGGTGGTTGCTATATTTTATTTGTTCGTTTTGCTCATTATGAGAGATGCTAAGAACCTATAGGAACACTAAGAGTGCACAAGGTAGAAACTCTACTGTTGAACTAAACTAAGCCAAAAGACAATGCATATTGCTCTATACACAAATTAATGCTACTTAAAGTTTAGCTATATTTCATTACAAAGAATAAAAGAGACAAAACCTTAAACTAAAAATCAGTCTCCAAATAGAAATGGCTGGTGGGGCACCTCAGGTCCTACTCACAGACATCCATTTCTACAGCAAAAACAGAGAGAATTAACACAGAGAATGTGGATACCACACCTATGAGGGATCTCAATCTATATCACTGTAGAACACTTTGCTAAGATAAGGCTGTGCCCTAAAATGGTCCACATAAAGAACTGAAGAGTAATCGACCCCAAATGATGCATAAAACTTAACCAGGAATACAAGAAGCACTTTTTAAAAAAAGAAAAACAAGATAATGAGATGCCTCCTAAGGTTCATAATTTAGCAGCAACTGACCCCTAATAATTGAAGTGGATGAAGTACCAGATCCAAACTTGACAAGAATGATTATAAAAAACAATCAGTGAATTCCAAGAGAATATAGAAAAACAACTGAATGAATTAAGGAAGTCAGTATAGGATATAAGTAATAAATTCAATAAGGAGATAAAGATATTGGGAAAGAACCAAACACAAATCTTGGAAATAAAAGACAAAGTGGATGAAATAAAATGTTCAGTTGAAAGTCTCTCTGATAGAGTAGACCATGCTAGAGATAGAATCTTTGAGTTGGAAGACAAAGGGACAGGACTTAAGCATTCACAGAGTATTTTAAAAAAAGAAAACAAGTAACTTTGATCAAAATATATAAAACCTCTAGGACAATATTAAGAGAGCAGATTTAAGAATCACTGTAATTGAGGAGGATTGTGAGATTAAGTCTAATGGAATGGATAATCTCTTCATGAAAATAATAATAGAAAATTTTTTCAAACCTTGAGAATGAGATGGATATACAGAAACAGGTTGCATTCAGAACACAAAATAGACAAGATTTTTAAAAAGTCCCTCTTCATGTTTATTATAATTAAAATGCCTAACCTACAGAATAAGGATATAACTTTTAGTTTTTCTCAAGAGAAAAGAGCCAGGTCACATTTAGAGGTAAGCCAATCAGGGTTACTTCAGATTTCTTAGCACAAACTCTAAAAACCAGGAGGGTTTTTAGAAGTCCTGAAGGCAAATAACTGTCAACCAAGTTTGCTATATTCAGCAAAATTACCATTCAAAATTGAAGGGAAAATTAAAACTTTCCAAGATAAGCAGAGAATAAATAAATTCCTCACTACTAAGATGACAATATGGAACTTATTAAAGGAATGCTCCAAACAGAAAAAAAAATCAAAAACAAATCTCAGAGCTGACAAATGAACAGATCTCATTTGAAAAGTAGCTAAGCAAATGGCAAATAGGACCAAACTAAACATAATAAATAAATTAAAATGGCAGAAATAAATAGACATTTCACTGTAATAACATTGAATATAAGTGGTCTCAACTCTTTAATTAAAAGACTAGATTGGTAGAATGGCTTAACAAATACCTAACAAAGGTTGTTTGCAGGAGACACTTTACAGGCAAAGATAGTCACCAGCTGAAAGTGGAAGGATGGAAATTAATACATCAGGCACATGGAACCTGAAAACAGGCAGGAGTAGCTACTCTCGTATCTGACCAAGCAGACTTCAAACCAAAATTACTCAGAAGAGACCAAGAGGGTCACATCCTGCTGGTAAAGGGAAAATCCAACAAGAAGTTATAACAATAATAAATATTTATACCCCCCAAATGGGTGCAACTGATTACATCAAAGAGATACTATTTCGATGAAGGCCTCAGGGAGACCCTAGTACAATAATTATGGATGATTAAAATACACATTTCTCACCAATGGATAGATCATTCAGACATAAATTCAATAAAGACTCTTTGAACTTAAAAATACAACAAATTAAATGGATTTAACAGTCATAGACTCTTTCATCCAGCAATAGCTGAATACACTTGCTTCTCAGAAGCTCACAGAACCTTCCCCCAAATTGACCAAAATTTAGGCCACAAAGCAATTCTTAACAATACAAAAGTTTGATACAATTTCTTGCATCTTATCTGATGAGAGTAGAATTATGTGTGTGAGGGCTGAGAAAATTATGGTGAAATTGTTAAGGTCTATAGACAAGTCAAAATAACACGTGGTATTTTGCCAGAGAAATGTTAGAGTTTGTAAACAAGTCTGGATGGTGCCTGGCAAAATGCCAGAGGGAGTGGTTTGAGAAGTAACAAAAGCGAGCCATTAAGTGTGGAGATTCCTTATTGGTTGACTGATGTATCTAGTTTATGCTAATTAAGATAAGCTGTGCAAAATGTATAAATAGCTCTGTTGTCCTACAATAAACGGCTCCTATTCCTGCTGTATCAACGTACACAAGTTATTCGTCACCCCCCAGTTATTATGCTGCAGCCGGACTGCGGCAGTGAAATGACACAGGTTTCTGCCTCACGGGTAGCGAATGTACAGTCAATTCCAGTTGAACCTTGAACAAAGTTACATTGTTCTATAAGGAGAATATGGCAACCCTGTGAATGGTTAAGATAGCCACGCAATATTCTAATCATATGCAGACTGAGCTACAGGGTCAATATCAGTTCTCCTTCCCTTGAATCTTTGATGAAATGAAAATTTAAGGTATCATTTAAAAAAAAAAAACCTTGAGAAACATTTTCTTGGGATATCTGCATATTGATTAAAGTCAACTTGCATTTAATTACTAAAGCCTCTGCCTAATGAATTATACCTTCGTTGAAAGGTAAATCAACAGATTAAATCACTTTGCTGATGCTTATCTTTTCCATTTCTCCTCTATTTCCCCCATTCTGGGGAAGAACGGAAGGCAGAAGCAAGTCAGGGAGGAGAATAGGGATTGTATGTAAAACATACCACCCTTAGTCTGGAAAATTCTATGCCGTGAATGCCTGGGATACCTCACACCTTCTCTCTGCTTGTTTTTGTTTTGTTTTTCCAGGGCTAGGGATGGAGTCCAGGACCTTGCACATGCGAGGTAAGTTCTCCCCAACACTTCTTTCTCTCTGGCGATGTCTGTTATCCATGGGATTGAGAGTTAGGGGTGAGGAGCCAGACGGCCCTGATTGGAAACCAGCCTCCTCACTTACTAGTTGTGTGCCCTGTACAAGCTGCTTAGTCTATCTTAATCCATTGATCCGTCAAAATCAGGATAACAGTTGCACCTACACTGTAGGGTTGTCACGAAGCTTAAATGAGTTTATGTTCATAAAGTGCTTAGAACAGTGTCAGACACACAGTAAGCACCTGCAGACACTTCTAAAATGGATGAGCTAACTTTGATCATTGTCTAGCTGTTGGATTTGGGAAGGGGTTCCTGTAATTCAGCATTCTTTAACAGCGTAAACCCTGTTGTTCCCACACAGTACACGTATGTAGGTAGTCCACACCTTTCCAGTGAAAATCACGTCCCTGAGCCTCACTTTTGATCACCTTCTGAGAATGTTTAATACTCATCCTGCTATGTTTTTCTTTAGTCCTCCTCCTATCACTCTGGCTCCACGAAACACAGCTCTGTCCGTAGGATCAGACAGTACAGCAGCCCTGGGAAGCTCACCAACTATCCCTTCTCCTGCCCACTTCCCAGCCAGACCACACCCAGAAATCCCTGTGGCCTTTCTCTTCTCCACGGTGTGGTTTCCACTCTTGTCCCCTCGGCCCTCAGGAGACAGTTTGGCTACAGGTGGGCGAGGTCAGCACCAAGGGCATCTTCCTGTTTTCGGGACAACTCCCCAGGGCGGTGGCAGAACCCCATTCACATCACCAGCGTCACAGGCTCCTTGTGGATGATGGCGTTTGTTACTTCCTGTGTCACTGTTGAAAAGCCAGCAATCGGCTTTTCACTCACAGTTCCCATTTAGTAACAGTCTCCTGCTCTCCCTCTGCGCCTGTGAGGGGCTTCAGCCCTCCTTTTGTTTTTTTATAGATGGCCACTGCGAGGTGAGAAGCGAGGGTTTCATTGCTGCCGGGTCATCTCTCTCATTAACCCTGCGACTTGGTGAGGGAGGCACAGCTGGTCATTTCAGTTTTTAACAATAGACGCTGATATTGGATTGCAGTGTGGAAACTGGCTCTTGCCATCTTTCACTGTTAATTGGTGGATTTAACAACGATGTATAGAAACAAAACCTCTGGTCTAAAAAATAGGCTCGGAACACTGGGCTGGTGGCTGATATTTTCTTCCTAACCGTGACATTTTCAGCAGCTGATGGACGAAGGGTTAGGAAGAGTGAGGCTGTGTTTTATTTTAGAGAGCCTCCTCTGCTTCTCTCTGGCACCTCCTGTTCTTCAGCGTTCATATAAATAAGGCCACGTATCCTTGGGAACTCTGCAGGCTGCTCCTCCCACTGGCCCGTGCAGAGCAGAGGGCAGCCAGTGCTCGGTGGTGGAAGACACAGTTCAATGCAGAGCGTGCTGAACACTTCTCCCGGTGGCTGCAATTACATCACTGGGAATTTATTATTTGAGTGAAGATTCTTTCACCTCTTGATGCCTTGAGAGATATAAACCTCCAACTCATGACTTTGGGGAATGAGTCACATCTCTCCCATGTTTTGCTCCTTGGAAGGAGAGGTGAGGGCAGCGATGAAGCTGTAAACACCATTTCTCTGATGTTCTAAAAGTGTAGAGAGAGATTCTTCCGTTTAACGAGCGATTCTCTGGCACCCATTTCATGACAGGTATAGTTCAGGCATTGAAGAAAAAAAGAAAAGAAAAGAAAAAAGAGAAGGAGGGAAGGAGGAGGGGAGAGGGGAGGGAGGGAACTTTGGGTCTTCGCCTGTCAATCGATTCTCATTTGAAAAGCCTCATTACAGGGCTGGGGCTGGGGCTCAGTGGTAGAACGCTCGCCTAGCATGTGTGAGGCACTGGGTTCGATCCTCAGTACCCCATAAAAATAAATCAATAAACAAACAAAGGTATTGTGTCCATCTACAACTACAAAAAAAAAAAGATCTTAAAACACAAAAGGAAAAAAAATTCTCATTATAAAACTGTCTTCCCAGGCGCCCTGCCCTCTCCATGTCCAGATGAAGGCACAGTTTCAGTGAATAGATGCGGCTTCCTCCCATTGTCTCCTTCTTTAGAAAAATGTGTCAGAATCAGAGAGTGTGGCAATGGAGGGAGAACCGTACAACTTGTAAGGTATTATCTCTGTGTATTGTGGTGTCTTGACGTCTTAAGATCCTTTCTGGTTGGTAAGAAGCTGCCTTCCCTGGACTGGCCAGGTGTTAAAGACAACAAAAGGCTCCACCTGAGGGGCCCGCCCAGACCAGCCCTCGGCCGCCACACCTGCCTTCCTTAGCTCAAAGTTCCTAACACGTAAGAGGGCCAGCTGGGACCTGGGTGAGCCTCCGCCTCGCTTTTCCCTGGGGCCCTGCGAAGGCCTGCCCTCGCCGGCATCCTGACCACCCGAGGCCCCCACCTTGCCTGTGTGTTAGGTGTGTCACTGTGTCTGGGGCCGGTCTCCTCGGCGGCTTCGCCCGCCTGGTCATCACAGAAAAATGCAGACAACAATGACCTGAAATTCCTTCTTTCTCATCAAGCATGAGATGAGTGGTCTCTCATTCCAGTGGGGTGTGTGTGTGTGTGTGTGTGTGTGTGTGTGTGTGTGTGTTGCTCTGATAGCAACATTAAGAAGTAAGCTACACTCCAAGAGATGAGCGAATGCAGGAGTTGTGTAGAGAAGGTGGTGTGTCCATTTGCACCTGGGCCAGACCACTGTGTGGCTGAGGGAGAGGTGAGACTGAAGCACAGAGGTGGGGTCTGATGGAGGATCCAGGAGAGAGAGGCCAGGGGTGCGGACGGGAGGAGTCTGCCTGGGGAGGGAGGGGGAGGGGCAATGCCCGGGAGTTAAGACCAGACCCACCAGGAAAGGCAAGTTTCTGCTTAGGAAATGCTGCGGCCTGGGGTGGCATAAATTCACGTTTTTAACTTTGATGGGATTTTTTGAAGACTAATACAAGAAGGAAACAGAAACACTCAGTTCTTGCAGAACAGGGTTTGACAAACTTCTTCTGCAAAGGGCAAGAGAGTGACTCTTTTAGAATTTGAAAGCAGCCTGACCAGTGTGTCAGCCACCAGACCTGGCCACGGTCCACAAGACTTCATTTGCAGAGGTGGGCACGGGGCCAGATTTGGACACACTCCTAGTTTGCTGACCCCTGGAATGGAGGCCTCCTGCAGGCCAAAAGGATAACACGAGGGATATTTTCCCTGGAATTTTGTAGGAAGGTCACATCCACTATCATGAAATCAGATCATTTTCAATGGGTTGAATACCAAGGGCATGTGCAAAGCTTCCGCCCATTGTTGAGCTTCCTTTCAGGGCAGACGCCTACCAGACAGGTGCATTTCTTATTAATTAAAGACCGGGACCGGCTTCAAATGCAAAGCAGTCACCACGTTACATGAGGCATGTATGAAGAAACATCTGAGTAAAGGCTAATCATTGCTTTCGGTTGAGAAGCCTGTTTGTGTGTCTACATATATGCATCTGTGTGTGTGTGTGTGTGTGTGTGTGTGTGTAAAAGAATATCTTCTAAAGAAAAAGATGAAACATAACAGACTCACCTACAGTCTGGTGGAAAGTCTTCCTAGGCTAACTGGCTCATCTCTTCCAAGATTTAGAGTTCAATAATATTAATAAAGTTTTAATGTGATTTCTAGTGAAGTAATTTCTAATAAAAAGAAACGTTGCTCACAAAACCCCCGGAGATGGTCGTCAGAACTGTGATAATCCCTGTGCAGCAACTGGCTTTTGAAAGCCAAGAAAGGCTTCCCTGTGTACCCGGTGGGGAAAACGTGATTTAGTCATTAAAGTGGTGCATTAGGTAACGTTCTCCATAAGCAGCCTGAAATAGACTGTCTAATGGAGGATCACGCTGAAATTCTATTCCCACTAGCTATGTCCTCCGTGGCTTCCTGTCAACAGATGGAGTAAAAGTAATGAGGAGCTATCTATCCTCCTTCTTCTCATCCTTAACAGAGCTCTTTACTTCTTTGCGACCCAAAAAGTGTCGTGTAAAGAAAAGGCATGAGACTGTGTGGAGATGTCATCGAAGCCCGTGTTTCCAGGGCTCCTAAGATCTGTTTCAGATCATGGGAGCAGCATGAGGGAGACACTCAACAGACCTGTGGTGCTCTTTCTCTGGATACAGGGAGGCTGTAAAGTTGCTCTCCTGCTACGTTGTTGGCGTTGGTCTCCATGGCAATGTGCTTGTTCATAAATAGCCTTGCTGTTGGTTGGTCTGATTTTAGTAGGTGCCATTAAAATGTTTCTCTTGACCATTCATCATGTCTCCTTGGTACAAAACTTCCTTGTCCTTTTGCTCTGTTTCACGTGAGGAATGTAGCCGTCCCAGTCTGCGGCTGTCCCCGCGTCCTCAGGGAGGTGTCAAGGACCTCGGATTCTCTGCTGCTGCCCCTTGGGGTCTCTTGGGCAGTCCTCTCCCCTGCCTTCTTCTGGCTAATTTAGAAAAGTTTCACCTCCTAGGTGAAAACAGGAACCTCCCCTGATTATTCTAAAATAGAAAATGTATGCACTAGGCCTTGGGTTCGATTTCATCAAAAAGAGAAAGAAGGAGAGAGGGAATGTGTTATTTCAAAACAATTAAGTAGATATAAAGCTCACTAGTAAGCCAAGGGTAAGAAGAAAACTCGAAGCAAATGTTGTCTCAGTCTTCTCTGTAAAGGGAAGGTGGAAACCGTCTAACCCTGGTGGGCATCCCAGCCACCTCCTGGCACAGGGGGAGCGAGAAGGCAGCTGTCTCAGGCACAAGGGGTGGGTGGGCCTTTACTAAAACGGGCAGTGCACGGGTCGCAGGCCTCCAACCGGGCCGAGGTGGGTTCCCCCGAGAAACAGAACCAACTGCATACATGTAGACACCCAGGGACTTACTGTGGAAATTGGCTCACGCGTGGGGGAGGCCAACAAGTCCCCTAAGACGATGTCACACCTGAAGACTTAGGAAGGCCAGAGGATGATCAAGTCTAAGCCCAATGTTCTGTGAACAAGGGGGGAGTCTCCTCTAAGTCCCAGAGTCTGAAGGCCACATACCTGGGCAGAAGACAGAAGCCCCAGCTCTAGGAGGAGAGAATTCGCCCTCCCTCTGCTTTGTATTCTATTCCAGGCCTCCGCACACAGCGCGCCGGACGATGCAGGCCTCCTGGGTGAGAGTGGACAGCTTGTATTGGCTCAAATGCTGTCGTCCTCGGGAAACACACCCACCTCCCCCACCTGCCCCCATAAAGCTTTACCAGCCATCTGTGCAACCCCAAGCCACCCCAGTTGACATACAGAATTTCCACCTCATTTGCCAGCCCCCAAGTCCCTGGGCAGCTCCTGGAAGAACCACAAGGCTGCAGTCTGCCTTAGCGCCCCCTATGGGCTGAGC